TAAGTGTAGGGTTTAGGGTTTAGGGCTTAGGGTTTAGGGTTTAGGGTCCCTCTCGACCATTAAAGTGGTTGGGATATCGGCAGCTCCATCGGGCCAAACCTGAGAAGAACAGGCACGCAAGGCCGGTCTACGAAGGCAGCGAGTTGTTTGTCTTCATTGGCTCCTCGCTGCCACATGTCCGCTGCTTCATAATGACAAAGGTCTGTTATAAGCCGATGTGGGAGTTTCCGAAAATAGGGGGTGCCTACTATTGGGGTCCTTATAATAAGGATCCTACTATTTAGGGTACTATACTAGGGTCCCCTATTTTCGGAAACTCCCATGTCAGCTGCTCCGGCACGCAATCCTGCCCAGACTCCCGCTGATCGGGTTGCCTCCAAGCCTGGCACGCTTTGATGAACAGGTTTTATTGAATTGCGATGTACAAGTTTTTTATGACGACCAAGAGAAACTCGCTGGACCTTCTCCTCTGAACCCAGGTTGATTGTATGCCCCTTCCGAAATCGGTTACGTCTTCCTGCAAGCATCTGTCTGCTTGCGGGGGAAATGATCTTGTGTTGCTGTTCGATGCCAAGCGATAAGTGGTTGACGGTTTGAGTTGCCAGGGCTTTTCAAAAACATGTACGTCAACGCTGTAAACCAGAATACGGCTAAAACGGCAAATAATGCCACAAGGCCCATTCCCTATGTCCTCAGGGCGCTGCGCATGCAAAATCCAATTCTAGCGCGACGACGGACAACCCAAAGCTTAAGCCTTGGCGCGCAAAGTTCAATTCCCTAAGCCGTAAACCCGCAAGCCCCGAACCCGAAAATGGTAAACTTGATGAACCCTATATTATTCTTGAAATTATTCGGCTTGAACTTACTTTTGCCACAGCCCGTGCGCCCCCAATCCGTCGGCAGGTCGCCCGACTGAAGGCACGACGGTGGGTCCGTGATTTTGCCGTTCTCGGTCAACTTGGCTCCCGTAGTAGCACCAGCTCCCTAAACCCTAAACCTGCAGTTGTCGCAGCAGTCATGGTACTCGTCGTCATCGTCACTGTCATATAATGATAGTAGCAGCATGCAATGTATGGGCCTTACTAGTGAGAGTAGGGTTTTAGGGCCCATAATACTATAGATATAATAAGGTACCCCAAAGTAGTATATGCAATAATTAAAGCCCATATAGGCATGGTTGGGGCAGTGTTGGGTTCGTGTTCGTGGTGGAAGCAGTAGCGCTGGTAGGGGTGGTAATGTGAGTAGTAGCGGTAGTGGTAGTGGTAGTGTGGTGGCGTGCATGTGGTGGGTGGGTAGTAGTGTGTAGTGTAGTCAAGTAGTAAGTAGTGAGTAGCCCATTGTCAGTAGTAAGTAGTTTGTAGCGGGAAGTGAGTCAGAAATAGTGGTTGAAAAAACATCAGCTGTAGTAGTTGTCGTAGTCACGAGAGGGAAAAAGAAAGAATGAACATAACAAGACATCACTGCAATGAAAGCATCACGCTTGCATGCTTTCGAGGCCTTGATGCTTCGTGAGCAGCAGACCAAGCGCCGGGTCAACAAGATCAAGTCGAAGACGTGCCCCCAACCAGCTCCAGGAACTGAAAGCCGCTTGTGATCATAGTTGTGAGCAAGACCACTCCCGTGCAACCCTCACATAATAAAAACCTGCTCCTCAGAGGCACTTCCAAGCGTGCCCTAATGCATGGCATCTCCCTGAACTTCACATGCAACAACCCGCTAAACCTCCCCGCAAGCAGATCCTATAAGGCTTGAAGTTTAAGGTGCAAGGAGCCCGTCATATCCGAAATATGCTGTTTATCCTCATCCGACCACGCGAACAGTGTTGACGAGGTACCGCCGTATCCACCGCAAGTCGGAAGCGAAGGACAGAGAGGCAGCTTGTTTTGACCAGATGCAGGGAACGCCCCGACCAAGCGATGCCTGAATCCTAAACCCTAAATCCGAAACGAAAAAACTAAACCCTAAACCCTAGACCCTAAACCCAAAGCCCAAACCAAGGCCCAAGCCCATACCTCGACCCAGCCACCCGAAGGACTAAGGCCCTGCCACCAGATCCAAACCCCAAGCCCAAAATCCTGGAGGGCACCCTGTAATACAAACTGTAATATGAGGGCCTCAAACGATTCAACGATTAGTAGCATACTTGTAGCATTGCATCCCCCAAAACCCTCTTCGTAGTAATACGGCCCATTAAGAAAAAACACCCTTGGTCTTACAGTAGAAGCCCTAAAGTTGGAAACTCAATAGCCTCAATCCTCAAGAGTAATGTATAGGGAATTCCAGCACTATTTGGCCTTAATCCAGTTTCCAACTTTATGGGATTCCCTATAGATCCCTTAAAGGAACCCTTAAACCCTTGTAGAATCCTTCTAGATAACTCCCTATAGATCCCTTAAAGGAACCCTGAAAGTTTACTGCAGAGCCCAAGCCTGAATTCTAACATGGACTCGTTGAGGCTGGAAAGCTGTGCTTTCAGAGAAAGAAAGGCGAGGATGCCCAGTAGTACCCTTATTCCCTTTTTGTAGTCCTAGGTTCCTTATAAAGTTACCCAATACCAAAAAGAGAGGCCTTTTTATTCTTAGGTTACTGGGTATCCTAGAGAAAGAAAGGGGCTTTTCTTGGGCTTCTGGCGTCTGGTTTGACGGTTAAGTGTTTATGCGATGGGTCGGAGGACTGAGGAAGTACGTTGTATGTAGGTTTTTTTCGGGTCAACCTCACCAGTGCAGCTGCAACCGCAATGACTCGTTACCTATTTGCTAGGTCTCCGGATTCCTCAGTTACGCAGGGCTGCTGACTAGGGCCTACCTTAACCCAGCACATCCTATAAATTGTAGGTTCCTTTTATGAAGCCCTATGGAAGTTATAGGGACCCTGCAAGGATGTAGGTTCTGGTAGGCTTAGGTCGGCTTTAAGGCTTTTGCCTGCGCCATTCTGCCGTCGTGTTGCCTGATTTTCTGAAGAGCCTGCAGACCGAAAACGCGTTTTGCTGCTATACACTATACACAGCGCTGGAGAAGACCGTGCGCGCACTTGAGAACAGGTGGCGACTCAAGCCGAAATTTCATCTGTTTCAGCATTGCTGCGAAGAATCACAGAGTCCACCATCTCTCTTGTAAACATTCACGGATGAGACTTGGAGAGGCAAGATCAGCCAGATCGCTGGGAGGCGAGGCGGCCAGACGGCTGAGGAAGAAGGTCTTCTGCCGAAACGAGGCTACCTAAACCCTAAACCGTATAAGAGGCCGTCATCATCATCAGCCTGTTCCGTAGCGTCCCTAAACCCTAAACCCTAAACCGCTATGCTTGTCATCACGGCTCAATGGCCCTTCGAGCCTTTGAGGCATCTTGAAGGGCTTCCTAGGACCTAGAGTAAGCCCTTATTCCTTTTTTAGGGTTTAGGCTCCCTTATAACCCCCTTTAAACCAAAAAGGGCACCCTTTTCATTCCTGGGTTACTCTTGGGTTTAGCTTCTGAATTGCAGCTTGCGCCCCCCGGACATCACGTCACGATGTGACGTGGTGTATTCTGTTGAACCCTAAAGCCTGAAGCCTGACACTAGGGCTCCAGTTACCTAAATAGTAGGTTACTCATATATATATATATATATATATCTATATCTATATCTATATCTATATCTATATCTATATCTATATCTATATCTATATCTATATCTATATCTATATCTATATCTATATCTATATCTATATCTATATATCTCTCTCTCTCTCTCTCTCTCTCTCTCTCTCTCTCTCTCTCTCTCTCTCTCCCAGTAACCTACTATTTAGGTAGCTGGAGCCCTAGGGTAAGCCCTGAACCCTGAAGTTTCACCCCTGCATCGCAAGGCCTAGATCCCATCCCTCACGAAACTCGAACTCAAAAACCCCCCTCCCCAATCCTATGGTTGATGATATAGATCCTGCATTACCTCAATGATTAACGACTCTAGACTATGGGAACTATACTAGATTATACTAGATTCCTCATTATGGGTAATGCAGGGTTCATATCATCAACCGTATGGATACCATGTGAAGCCGACTGAGACGTCGCATCAACACCCAGCGCAGGTGCTGCTTCAGCGCCTGGAGCACGAGAATCCGGAGCTCGCGCAGCAGCTGAAGCAGGAGAAGTTGCAAGGAGGGTTAACGAACTGGGGTTTGTTTGTTTAAATTCAGGGTAATTATGCAGGGTTTAGGAATTGGGATTTTGAAGTTTAAGGCTAGGGTTTTCAGATGTGTTGGGTTTCGGGTTTAGGGCTTCGGGCTTTTCGGGTCGATAGGGTTTAGCGAAAAGGTTTGCGACTGAGAGTTTATCCCCTACGCCCCCCTAAAATCCCAAACTCAAAGCACCTGAGGCTTCCAGCAGTGAGCGGGTTTGAAGGGTGAATGTAAACAAGCCGCAAAGTTGTAACATCATTATCCTCGTGCCCTCAAAATAAAGTACAGGGAATTCCAGCAAGAATGATCCTGAATCGATGTTCCAACTTTCTGGGGTTTGCTGATACAGGTTTCAGTACATAGCCTCCATGTCCGCGGCTAGTCCTTGATCGAGTATCTGGGACACAGCCCAAGCCCTAAACCAAAAGCCCTAAACCCTAAACCCTACACCCCACACCCTAAACCCTAAACCCTAAGCCCTAAACCCTAAACCCTTACCAGGTATTTAGGGATCCCAGGGTTAAGGGCCCATACTAGGGCGGTGAAGTAGCCCCCAAAACTAGCCTTTACAAGAAACCGCAGGGAGCCCAGGAACCTTAGAGGAAGCCTTGAAGCCTCATCTTGTAACCTCCGCTTAAAGGATCATGGGACTTAGTAAGTAAGGTTATAAGTACCTTAGTTGGGGTTATAAGTAGTTATAGGTATAGTTACCCTAATTATAACCCTGGTTACTAAGTCCCATGATCCTTTAAGCAGGCCCTAAGCCCTAACCCTAAGCCGCAAGCGCAGACTGAAAAGCCACTAAGCAAAACTAGATCCTAAACCCCTTCCTGGGCCGACGCCATGGATGTCCCGGAGTGCTTCTGCGTACAGGGTCGCGAATTCCACATGTGCCTTGGGTGGCACAATATGTGGGCTTCATAGGGTTTCCTAAGAGTTCCATTTCGGGTTTTAACGGTTTTACAGCTTTGGACTTTAGAGTGTTGGGCGCGATGTCTTCACGAAGAAGGTACGAAATTACTCGGCAGAGGTTAAAGTCCAGGTTTTCGGTGCGGAATTCCAGGGTTGAGGGCTTCTAAAGATCCTATATTTTTGAATTTGCAAAAGATCCTATTTTCCACATCCCCGCACATCTGGGGGGTTTAGGATTCAATGTTTAGGGTTTGCGGTCTAGGATTTAGGGTTTCGGGTCTGGGGTTTAGGGTTTCGGGCCTTCTTGGTTTCCCTCCTCTCCTCTAGCTGCTGCGGTTCTTGAAACAAAGACCCTAAACCCCCGACCTCGATTCCCCCTTGGGCCGTCTCTTTCTCTCAGTCCTCGCGCCCATCTCGCCGGACTTGGCGCCGAATTGCCGCAAGCGCTCGGGGAGAGAGATCCGAATTTCTTCCAGGCGCCCTCGATGGGTTTGTTGGGTTTCGGGCCTTGGACCTAGAGGTTTGGGTTTAGAGCATAGGGGTTTAAGAGAGTACATGTATCCCCGGCTGATCATTGTGTAGCAATCGAGAATAGGGGGTAGGGGTTAAAACAATATTAAGTAAGGATCACAAAAAATTAAGTAAGGATCAACAAATTTTTAGATAAGGATAAAAAAAATTAAACAGGTATCCACGAAAGGAGGGGGGGTAACGGAGGAAAGAAAGACGGAGAGAGAGAGAGAGAGAGAAAGGAAGAAAGACAGAAATAAAGAACGAAAGAAAGACACAGAGAGAGAGAGAGAGAGAAATAAAGAAATAAATAAAGAAAGAACGACAGAGAGAGAGAGAGAGAGAGAGAGAGAGAGAGAGAAAGAGAGAGAGAGAGAGAGAAAGAAAAAAACGACAGAAAGAAAGAAATACAGAAATAAAGAAAGAACGAAAGAAAGCAAGACAGCAATAAAGAAAGGAATACATAAAGACAGCTACAAGGAAAGAAAGAAAACAAAAATAACGAAATATATAAATAAAGAAAGCTATAAGGAAAGAAAAAACACAAGGAAAGGACGAAAGAGAGTTAGAAACAACGTAAAAAGAAACAATAAAGAAATAACGAAATAACAAAAAAGGAAAAAGAAAGACGAAAGGACATAAATTAACTAAGATGTTGTTTTGTTCTATGTTATCTTCTGTTATATTGTATTGTCTTTTCTCATGTTATTATATGCTATAAGAAGCAAGGTTCTGTTATGTCAGAAAATGTCACACTATTTTTGTGATGTCGAACCATCTTATGTCGTGCTTCTGGTTTACTATGTTATATTATGTTAGAGTGCTAACGGAAGAAGAGACACGAACAGGCACGGAAGAACGAAAGACCCACCGCCGCGCTTTTCGAGCCGTGCAAGCTTGATTCAAAGAGTGTTTTCGAAGCCCATCATGTGAGCGTTGTGTCTGCAAATGGGGGAGGCCCCCCAGGCCCCCCTCAACCCCCCCGCTGAACCAGAATCGCCAAATCAGGGGGTGTGTTTAAGATAGGTGATGAAGCGGAATACCAGCAACAGCTACAACACGAAATCCGTCCTAAATGCGAAATTGTAACAAAATTTGATTTTCCCGAGGAACAACCAAAGATAACGTATGTTTTCCTTCTGAAAACTTGAAGAAATGACACGAACGCCATAGGTAATAGAAAATAGTGTTTTTCTTAGGAAAAGCCAAGGAAAACTTAAGGAAGTATCACGGAATCCGTAGGAAAATCGCGTTTTCCCAAGGAAAAACTAGGCAAATCCTGAGGAAATGAAAAAGAATCCGTAGGAAAACAATGTTTTCCATTGGAAAAATTCAAGAATTGCTGTATCTAAAAAGAAAGAAAGAAAGGAAGACAGAACGAAAGAAAGAACGAGCGAGAGAGAGAACGAAAGAACGAAAGCAAGAACGAAAGAAAGAACGAACGAAAGCAAGAACGAAAGAAAGAACGAACGAAAGCAAGAACGAAAGAAAGAACGAACGAAAGAAAAAACGAAAGAAATGAGACAAGAAAGAAAGCCAGTAAGAAAGGAAGGAAGGGAGTATGGAATGAATAAAGAAAGAACAACAGAAAGAAATAAAAGAAATGAGCGAGCGAAAGAAAGAAATAAATCCAGAATAAACAATCAAAGTTGGAAACGACGGCAGAGAAAGAACATGAAATAATCACAGAACCAAAGATACAAGCCATAGGATACTACATAGTCCAATCGAATATGCCATAATACCGTAATGTACCATAACATAATATATCATAATGTAACCTGATGTTATATAACATACTAAATATTATGTTTTATATATACAAACTATAGTGTACTATGTTACAATGTACTACACTATAAACTAAAATGTTGTTTTGTTCTATGTTATCTTCTGTTATATTGTATTGTCTTTTCTCATGTTATTATATGCTATAAGAAGCAAGGTTAGAGTGCTAACGGAAGAAGAGACACGAACAGGCACGGAAGAACGAAAGACCCACCGCCGCGCTTTTCGAGCCGTGCAAGCTTGATTCAAAGAGTGTTTTCGAAGCCCATCATGTGAGCGTTGTGTCTGCAAATGGGGGAGGCCCCCCAGGCCCCCCTCAACCCCCCGCTGAACCAGAATCGCCAAATCAGGGGGTGTGTTTAAGATAGGTGATGAAGCGGAATACCAGCAACAGCTACAACACGAAATCCGTCCTAAATGCGAAATTGTAACAAAACTTTGATTTTCCCGAGGAACAACCAAAGATAACGTATGTTTTCCTTCTGAAAACTTGAAGAAATGACACGAACGCCATAGGTAATAGAAAATAGTGTTTTTCTTAGGAAAAGCCAAGGAAAACTTAATGAAGTATCACTCAATCCGTAGGAAAATCGCGCTTTCCCGAGGAAAAAACCAATCAGATCCTCAGGAAATGAAAGAAAATCCATAGGAAAACATTGTTTTCCCTGGGAGTTTCAGGAATTGCTGTATTTTGAGTGATTTAATTTTTTTGATCCTTTAATTTTATTTTGATGCCTCTGCCCCAGGAATTGCTGTATTTTACGTGATTACATTTTTTTGATCCTTATTTTTTTTTTTGATTCTGGTGCTCTTTTTTTAATCCTTATTTAATTTTTTTGATCCCTCACCCCCAATTGGTTGCGAAGCAATGTTTGAACGATCCGAATTCAGGGATGAGGGTTTGGCTTTACAAGGTTTATTGGGGTTTAGGGTGTGTGCCCAGAGAGCCCAAGACCCCTTAATTAAGGAATATAGCTTAAATCATAATATGAAGCCCTATATAATTTAAGCTATATTCCTTAATTAAGGGGTATTCGGCTCTCTGGGTGGTTTAGGCCTTGGGCCTGTGGTGGAGCCTGATTCAAGCCGGCTGAGATTGGAGCGGGGTTTGGCACGCAAGTGCAAGCCCAGAGACTCCAATATCCCCTAACTAAGGAATATTCCTTAAATCACAAAAGGGATCCTACTATAATTTACGATATATTCCTTAATTACGGGATATTGGAGTCTCTGGGAGTGGTGCTGATCATTTCAATGGCAGTCACGCACCCTAAATTCTTAAGAGGCGCTAGGCCCTAAGCCCTACACGAATTCTGTATTGCTCGTAGCAAGAAGGCAACGACTCTGACGGAGACGCTTCAGTCTCCCCTCCGACAGCCATCTACAAACCCCTGCAAAGCAGTAAACAACCCTACAAGGCCACCTATAAAACCCAGTGCCACCCAGTCGCAACCTATGAGTTTATGAACCCCTGCAATACTCATGAAGCCCCATGTAAGCCGAAAGCGCCCTGCCTATGAAGCCCTACCAAGCATCATGAAACCCTGCAGCACCGCATGCAACCAACCCTACAGCAAATTATGAAACCTCATAGGGCCCTATGAAGCCTATCCAACTATGTGAAACCCGAATATGCTTTATGAAGCCCTACCAAAGCATATGCAACCAGGCAACGCCCCATGGACCCCTATATCAAACCATATTATGGTTTGATATGCTAATATGGAATCCTATAAAGCTTTAGGAAGCAGATTGCCCATGAGCTATTCCCTAAACCCTCAACCCTGAAGTGTTCCTGCGTTAAACCCAGATGCTTTGCGACTTCCTTGCCTGGCGTGCTGGCACAGAGTCGCCTGGAGGAGTCCTGCAGCCACTCGGCTGTTTCCTTTAAGGGTTACTTGAAGGGTTCTTCAAGGACTCTACTACTTGGAGGTTCATGGGTAGTTATAAGTTATAAGTACGGTTATAAGTCCCTTAATAGGGCTTGTAAAAAGAGTTACCTTACTTGTAAACCCACTTATACCGCCAAATACGACGCGCGAAGCCTGAGACCCCCGAAGCCTAAACCCTTGCATTAGTTGCGGGATTCGTTCTGGCCTTCCAGTGGAGAGATTTCGGGCTTGGGTTCTCAAGCGTTGGAGTGCAGAGTTTTCAGTACGATGTGTCTGGACTCAGATTTCAAGGGTTTGGAGGTTTCGTGCCCCACGGGGCCTTGCAGGTCAGGGATTTCTGGGCAGGTGCAAGTCACTGCTAGGTGTTCCTGCGCTGTGGCTTGCCGTTTGACGCATCAAGGGATTTCATAAGTGGCTGCATCGATGCTAGCCTTGAACCCCACTGTCGCAATATACTTGCCACGGCCCCTAGACCTTTCAAGCATCATGACCACTAGCTTCCCTCTACTATCCTCAACTCATCGTCATGACTGATGCTAGCACTCTCAAGGTACAATTTCTCCCAAAAACTGCTGCTTTCTGGGCAGTGCCTTTTTGGGCCGGCTTTGACAGCTCTAGCTTCGGACACTTCTTCACAGTTGCGCGAAAAGCAAGGCACGTGTTCGGAGAGTTAGCATTCAACATGACTAGTTCTAGAGTTCCCTTTACGGTCCCTTTCTGAAATGGCCTTCGGATAATGATCGTAGTTTCAATGGATCAGATCACAGAGCCGCCCCAGCAGAAGCATTGACCCTAAAGCCTTAAATCAAATGGCTACAGTTTTGCAGTTGTGGCTCAGGTACCGAACACAGAACTAGGTTCCCTCATTTTCTTACTTGTACTTCCCAGATGTGGCCCTGGCATGCTACCCTTGGCGTATTACTGAATTTTGCTGGGGGTTGTCAAGCCCGTGGGAGTTCAGTTGAAGCACCTCCTCAAGCTTTCCGGCTGCATCTGCAAGAAAACGCCACGATGCTACGTGCTTCAGCCACCAGCCCCCCTCGCCTCCCCGACCCCACCTCACTCCGCCCACCCGCCTTTCCTTGGCCACATTGGAGTATTCTCGCACCGAAATTCTGGCGCTGTGGCGACCGCTGGATAATAGCAGTTCTGGCTGGAGGCGTAGCTGGCATTCTGCTGATCCCAACTTTCTTTCTTGCCCTGGCACTGCTTGGTTTCACTACAGCCGGCGTGACTGCTGGATCCATGGCTGCATGCTGCCAGGCACAACTTGGACTGGTCGCCGCCGGATCCTGTTTCTCAGTAGCGCAATCGGTTGCGGCACAGGGGATGATAGCTTCATGCACGCCGTGTACTGTGGTGACAACATGTGTGATGGGAGTTTGTGTGGCTCTGTACCTCATGTACATGCAGCACTGCTCTTGGTTCAGTGATGTTTGCTGTTCTGATGACTGGCACTGGTGGGCAGACACGACGAAGGTACGTCAGTGAAAGACACACTGCGACGAGGGGTCTGTTTCCGAGTCTGCCCTTGTTCCCTTCTTGGGCATCTGTCTCAGGTACCGAATTGAGCAAGAGACGCAAGAAACATGACAAAGAGCGCGGCCGAAGCGCGTCCTGTGTTTCCAGGGCTTGTGCGAGCTTGTCATACAGTTCAACCAAACTTTGTCTCTGCCGTGCGACTTGTTCAGCTAGGTGGGTTAAGGCCTAACTCCTAAACCCATCACCTTGGGTTCGAGGCCATATGCCTGAAAGCATTGGAGACCCAGGCATAGCCCAAGTTCGACCGTTTGCAGAAACCTTGTTTTTGAAGGGGGCCCTGTTAGGGTCTGGGGTCACTTCAGGCCTGGCTTGACTTCGGGCATGGCAGATGTTCGCACTTGCTCTCCCATCTGACTGATTGCAGATGTTTGCCTTTCTCTCGGTTGTGGGTGCCTCGCAGCAGGATGCCGGGGTACTTCCTCTTCGTGGGAGTTGGTGTAGGGTAGGTACACCCATCGCTTTGCAGCCCAAGGGCCACAGAACTGATCCAATACCCCTCTATCGATGACTTGCCCGTGCCACGAAACTTCCATACTTCAGAGTATACCCTAAGTTCCTTAACCCTGTACCTTGACAGGAGTTCGGACAGCTTTATTCTGGAGTCCTACTTGTTTTCGATACCCGTCACCGCACCCTGGCGTGCTAAACCCCAACGCCCAAAGCCAAACCCAAAATCCAACACCAATGCAGGTGTACAGCCCTGGATGCTGCCAAGCACCAAGTGAGCTTCAGGCCACCATGTCGCACAGCTGGGGTCTCCGTTTCAATGAAGTTCTCAATACTCGTAGGACGTCGGACTCTCCGGGCTTGGGGCACTTGGAGGTTCATGGGTAGTTGTAAGCAGGGTGAAAAGTCCTACTTATATCCCAACTTATAACTACCCATGAACCTCCAAGGAGTCTTGCAGCCCGGGTTCCCAATGCTTGCTTGCCTAGCGAACTGTCCCTGCGAAGGCTGGCGAGTGGCGCTTCCGTGCAAGCAGAGGAAGAAGTGGACGGGACACTGAAGGTGCAGGCGTCTGGTAAACCCTAAACCTAGTAGTAGAGTAGGTAACCTTTAACCTTTTTTGGGTAGTATAGTCCCTATATACCCCGAAAAGGTTAACCTTTAGTTCCCCATGATACCCGACAAGTAGGTAAACGCCCTAAACCTCTGGGGTCCGTTTGGCGTTTGGGATTGGGATCTCCGCAAAACCTGCTTCTCGAACGGCTTCTTTGTCTTCGTGTCAGGTTCGAACCACTTGCTGTTCCTGCCAAGCTGCTAGTTTCGATGTGCCTCTTGCTTTTGGGTCGCAAGGGTATGTCATGGATCCAGAATTTGCAGCATATCCCCAGAGAGCCCAATACACCTTAATTATAATTAAGGAATATGGCTTAAATTATGTAGGGCTTCATATTATGATTTAAGGTATATTCCTTAATTAAGGGGTGTTGGGCTCTCTGGGTCTGCATGCACGGGCCCAGCGGATTCTAGACTTTGAGCCGGCCGTAGGCGGTTTGTCGTCACTTGGGCCGGCCCTCTGCTGTCGAAGAAGGACTAGGGTTCCCAGAGATCCCAATACCCCTGAATTGGAATATACCTTAACTCATAATGTTAAAGCCTCTACAGTTTTAGGTATATTCCGTAATTGAGCGGTATTGGGTTCTCTGGGTTTAGGGAAGCCAGCGTTTCTGGGGAGTCTTGTTGACAGTCGTCTACAACAGTGAAGACCATCGCAACGACTTTGTTTGGTCTGCAGATGGGCCTAGTCCTTCCTGATCATTCATTACATGGACCCTTGTACCCTAAGCCCCAAACCCTTATAGAACCTTTACAGCAAACCCTATACCCAGAGAGCCCAATACCCCTTAATTAAGGAATATGGCTTAAATTATATAGGGCTTCATATTATGGTTTAAGCCATATTCCTTAATTAAGGGGTATTGGGCTCCCTACAGTATCCTTTTTTCGAGATCGTGTTTCACCAAGTAGATAGATAGGTGGAGAGAAACCATGCCTAAGTGCGAAAGTGCCTGATCCCCAGACCTTGAAGCATAGACGATATACTATTCGGTTTAAGGGGTTTAGGGGTTTAGGGTTTAGGGTTTAGGGTTCAGGGTTGAGGGTTTAGGGTTTAGGGGTTTAGGGCTATTTTTTGCTCAGCATGTTATACTAGACGATATACCATGTTTTTACTCAGCACACCATACTCTGATACCGTGGCATTCATAGGTTTGCATATCCGTGTTACAGAAATAAACCCTAAACCCCGAAACCCTAAACCCCTAAACCCCCTAAACCCTGAACCCTAAACCTCCAAACCCCTAAATCCTGAAACCCCAAACCTTAGCGCTTGCAGGCAAAAGAGCGCGTCGCGGAGATCGTCTACGAGCCGCTCTCGGAGGAAGAGCCCTGTCCCATCCAAGGGGTGCCTCGGCTTTGGGTCTCCGTCGGGGGGGGGGTTCAGGGTTTAGGGTTTGGGGGTCGGGGTTTCGGGTTTAGGTTTAGGGTTTTAGGGGTTGGGGTTTAGGGTTTGCGGGTTTCGAGTTTAGGTTCAGGTGTCTGGGGTTTAGGGTATAGGTTTTAGGGTTCAGGGTTCAGATCTTAGGGCTTTGGGGTTTAGGGTTTCTCGGGTTTAGGGACCCCATCAACCGTAAACCCTAAACCCTAAAAACTCCACAAGCCCTACAAACCCTAGAAACCCTGTAAACCTTATAAGCCCTAAACCAAAGAGGCCCCTCTAAGGTCTGGTTGCATATAGACCTTATACACCCTATAAACCCTACCCTATAGTATACAAGCCCTAAACCAAAGGGGCCCCCCGAAACCCTAAACCCTAAACCCTAGACCGTGGAACGCCCCCCCAAAAAAACGCCCTGAGGTCTGGTTGCACAAGGAGGCCGTGAGCTGGACGATGCTGGGTTCTTGTTAAGGAAGTTATTTTGCAGTTAATCCCAGAAAGGAACTACTTTGGGGCCTATGGGTATACAGTAACAGTCTATAATAGGTTCCTTTAAAGGGATCTATAAGGCCCTATAAGGGGGTCCTCTAGGGAGTCCTTTAAGGGTTTAGGGTTACTAACATAAGTTAGGTACTGCCCCCATACAGTAAGAGTCTATATTAGGGCTACTATTAGGGTCCTAATATCTCTATATTGTGAGTATTATTCAACTATTGCTGAGTGGGGGCCGTACCCAATAGTTACCTTAATGGGGATGTGCAGGGGTTTATAGGGATTAAGGAATGTATTTTACGTTACCATACTAGGGATCTATCGTAAATACTATGGTTTCCTTATTATGGTAGTTTAGATTAGACCCCTTAGCGGCCCTAAACCCTTATAGAACCCTTACGGGAACCCTCCCAGAGAGCCCAATACCCTTTATTTAAGGAATATGGCTTAAATCATAATATGAAGCCCTATATATTTTAAGCCATATTCCTTAATGAAGGGCTCTTGGGCTCTCTGGGCCTTGTAGATCCCTTAAAAGAAACGTAACTTAAATTTCTTAACAAGATCCCAGGATGCTCTCCGCCGCGGGGAAGAGGCGCCTCCTCCTCGCAAAAGCTGCCCCGGCGCCTCGTTCGGTTTAGGGGTTGTATAACGGTTTAGGGTTCAGGGTTTAGGGGACTATTGTTGGGGATTATATAGGGGCTACGTTCGGTTTAGGCTTTTTTTTGGTGGTTGACAAAATTAAGGTCCCTTTTTGGGTACCCTAAATAATAGGTGCCGTATTATAATAAGGACCCCAAAAGGGACCCTAATTTTGGCAACCACCCAAAAAAGGGCTACTAGAGGGATTCATTCCCCCGGTCCCTACTAAGCACCAGACAGTCCAGGTGCAAGACTTCGAGATTCCAGCGAAGTGGCAGGAGCCTGGAATGGAGAGGCCCGGACCGTTGGTCGAATTACATGGTCTCATTATGAACAGCAGTGGCTGTGTTCCTTCCTGTCGCTTTGCGCGGTGCTTGTTTTGGGTGTTTCTGCTGCCGGCAGCAGCTGCTGCTGCTGCTGCTGTCGTCATCGTTGCTTTGCGGTGGTTTTGGTTGTTGTGGTTGTTGAGTTGTTGTGGTTGTTTTTGTTGTGGGGGTGGTGTTTGTGGTCATCGCCATCGTTGTTGTCGTGCTGGTGGTGGTGGTGGTGGTGGTGGTGGTGGTGGTGGTGGTGGTGGTGGTGGTGGTGGTGGTGGTGGTGGTGGTGGTGGTGGTGGTGGTGGTGGTGATGGTGGTGGTGGTGGTGGTGGTGGTGGTGGTTGTTGTGGCGGTGACGAAGGGTGTTTGTCGTTGGTGTGTCATGGCGGTAGCTTTTCCGCGGAGATCCGGCACATTAGCGTTTGGGCTTTAGGGTCACATGGGTGGTTGTCCAAATTAGGGTCCTCCTTAATATAATACGGCACCTCATATTTAGGGTACCCAAAAAGGGACCCTATTTTTGACAACCACCCACATGTTTGAGAAGCTGCCCCCACCCTGTAATAGTGGTATAATAGGAATATAGTAGGGCCCCAATATAATACTAATATAATCCTTATGGTCACTATTACAGGGTGGGGGCCCCTTCTAACACATGTTTAGGTTTGTAGATCTGCACTTGGTGCTCGAGTGAGGTCTTGGGCTTCGGCTTTAGAGCTTAGGGGCTCGCTACTTGGAGGGTCGGGGGACTTAGTAAGTAGGTAGTAAGTAGACTTTTAAGTACCCTAAAAGGGACCCTAATTGGGGTTACGGTACTTATAGGTCCCTAAAATAACCAGTAACTAAGTCCCCTGACCCTCCAAGTAGAGGCTTTCAACCAGGTGCGATGGCATGTGCCTGATGTTGCAAGAGTGCAGTACTTGGAGGTTCATGGGTAGTTAGTTAGAAGTGAACTTATAAGTAAGGTAGCTATAGCTGTAATCCCTATTAGGGGACTTATAACCCTACTTAAAACTACCCATGAACCTCCAAGTAGGTCGTAGCTGCAGCACGTGCCGCCACGACCCCCTCCATCTGGAAGTGCAGTGCATCCGTAAGCCTCAGAAAGTCCCGCACCCTAAACCCGAAATCTGGATCCCTAAACCGAAGGCCTAAACCCTAGTCGCTTAAACCCCAGACCCTAATACCCGAATCCCTAAACCCCAATCTCTTAAACCATAAACGGCCACAGCCCGAAACCATTCTCGACCCCTTGCAAAGCCCTAAACCCTAGACCCTGGACCCAAGCCCGAACCCTTTTGGAATCTGCCGAATCCTATAAACCGCTTTGTAGAGCCCAGAAATTCCTTATAGAATCCCATAAACCCCTTATAGAATCCCATAAACCCCTTATAGAATCCTATAAAACCCCATTATGGAGTCCCATAGACCCCGTTGTAGAATCCCATAGATCCCTAAACCCTAAACCCTAAACCCCTTAAAACCCTATAGATCCCCACCTGCTTAAGCCTCTGCGAGGCTCTTCTGGGCGGAGATGAGCTTCTGGGCTCTCGTTAAGGAACTTGGCTTAGGGTTTGGGGTTTAGGGCTTACTTAGGGTTTAGGGTTTAGGGTTAGGGTTTAGGGCTTAGGGTTTAGGGTTTAGGGTCTAGGGTTTAGGGCTTAGGGTTTAGGGTTTAGGGCTTAGGGATTAGGGCCTTTTAGGGTTTTTGGGTATAATTGGGTTCCTTTTCATTCCCAATAGCGTTCTAGAATAGGGTCCCCTTTTCAGGGGTTTACTTTCAGGTTGGGTCTTAGGACTGTAGCTTTTTGGGTTTCGATATGAACTACAATACGGAGGCTAACAGTTTAACTTCTAGGAGGGGTTCAGAAGTCAGCCAAGGGCAATTAGTTTAAGTTGCCACAATAAAGAAACCATACTAGATACTGTAGATCCCTATTATGGTACCGTAAGTTACCCTAAACCCAGACCTTACATGGTAACTTCAATTACCCTAAACCCTAAAACCTAATTGGTAACTTAAATGACCCGAAACCCTAAACCGTAATTGGTAACTTAACTTACCCTAAGCCCTAAACCCTAAGTGGCAAGTTAAATTTAAATCCCTTGACTAGAAACCATATTATTTACTATAGATCCCTATTATGGTAACTGAAATTGGATTCTTAAACCCTGATAAGAACCCTTCAGGGAACCCTTATAGATCCCTATTATGGTACCTTAGATTAAATTCTTAAAACCCTAAATCCTAAGCCCCCTAAACCCTAAACCCTAAGCCCTTAACCAGAGCCCAGGTTTTTACCAGGCTTTCGAGCTGGAGATGGCCATGATGTCCGCCCTCTTGCGGAAGCTTCTGAAGGCCGGGGCGCTTTCCCCAAGCTTCCCAAAGCACCAGGCGAAATGCATTCATACACATATACATACACATATGCATATACATCTACATATACATCTACATATACGTATACATACACATATACGTATAAATATACGTATGCATATACATACATACATACATACATACATACACCCATATATATATATATATGTATGCAGACATATATATATATATATATATGTATGCAGACATATAGATATATATGCATATATATATATATATATATATATATAATACACATGCAGCTACACATACACACGCACACATGGATATGTATATATATATATATACACATAGATATAGGTATATAGATATAGGCATGGGTATAGATATAGGTATAGGTGTAGATGTAGATGTACCTACACGTACATGCGTATCTATTTATCTTTTATCTATCTGTCTATCTATCTATCTGTCTATCTGTATACAGCATATATATATATATATGTATATAAATATATATATATATATATATATATATATATATATATATATATATATATATATATATATATATATATATAGACATAGCTGAGTACATTTTTCCCTCCAGGTCTACTTCCCACAGGGCCTGGAGGCCTTCGCCGAGTGGCCGGGCCGTGACCGACACCAGCTGTGGGCGTGCGCCCCAGCCCTGGGTTTGGTTGCTTTATGGGGGTTTAGGGTTTATAGAAATTGTTTAGGGTTTAGGGTTTAGGGGTTTGGGATTGCAGGGTAAGATTTAAGGGTTGAGGATCTTAAGGGGTGTTTTGGGCTTTTAGGGTTTAGGGGTTTGGGGTTTAGGGTTTAGGGGTTTATAGAAATTGTTAAGGGTTTGGGTGCCAATAAGTTTTGACCGAAACGTTTTGACCGAAAGGTTTGACCGAAACGTTTTGACCAGGTTTTCCGACTGAAATCTGATTTTGGAATGAGCGGAAAGGGGCTGGGGCTGTGGCTGGGTAACTCTACACACCAGTCGTCTTGAACACTAAGCCCTTGTCATAGATCACACCCGCTCTAAACCCCGTCTTGAACCGTAAACCCTATAATTACACACTCGGCCTCCGCCAGAGGGGGCTCGGGGGAACGGAATGCTGCCTGATTTTTTGCAGCATCTGCCGCCCCGTGCATTACTTCCAATTGGCCGTTGACGGGATTTTGTACGATTATATATAACTGCACACCCGGTCTGAAATCTAAACCCTAAGCCTGTTTTGTAGTAGTTTTCGTTTGGTTCGCTGTGCAAAACATACGAACAACCAGTTCATTTTCCTGTCAGCGTTGTTGTATGTATATGAGTACCTCAGTGCACAAGTCGTTTTGAATCCTAAACCCTAAATCCTGATCGAAGGCCTAGGGTTTGCATATCCTGAGCCACTTCACCCGAAACTACAAACATCCAAACTGTTAACTCCTGAACGCTAAACCCATATTGGGTTTCCATAAGAGGCCCTAAAACCCATATTGGGCCTTCCATGAGAGGCGCGTGGAGTTTTGATGATAGATCGCGGCCTTGGGAGCTGGAGCTGTTTTCTCTCGCTTTGAGGAGTCTTCATAAGACCTAAACCATGTATTGGTAGAGGAAGCTAGACCCCGGATGCGCAAATTCCTGTGCTTACAATGGAGAAATCGAGGAGGGATTTGTCCGGATGGTCAAGAAAGGAAGGGTCAACGACTGAGAGGGCCTTTGTTGCATGACATCCATATCCCGAATATCATGGAGCTCGAACCATAGTGTCATTTTCGTGATATGATATTGAGATTATCGTAGAAGATGGTCCCCCAAACCCTGTTTGGATCCGTGCACCTTGAAAGTAGGCTTCTAGGGTCTGTCGAAGGCTTCCCTGTGGCTGGCTATGCGGTTTCGGCCTGGGCGCGACTACAGCGACTGTGAGGTGGAGTGGATGGTGGCGGCTGGTCTTATCTTTTGAACCCCTGCACTACCCCTGATGCGATTAATCAGTTTCGATTCCTGCACTGCGTCTGATGCTATTTATCAGGCAGCAAAGAAACCATGGAACAAGATATCGTCCGCCAAAGTGCTTGAGCTGGCTCTCCGCATGCCTTGACCCCGAACCGCTAGACCCCACTTCCAAACGCCAAACATCTTCAACTCCGAAGCCCCTAAACCCTACTTGGAGGGTCGGGGGACTTAGTAACTGGTTATTTTAAGGACTTATAAGTACCATAACCCCAAATAGGGTCCCTTTTAGGGTACTTATAAGTCTACTTACTACCTACTTACTAAGTCCCCCGACCCTCCAAGTAAACCCTTATGCCCAAAACCCTACAACCTTTGAGCCGCAAAAGCTGAACATCTTGTTTAAGTCCACCTGCAAACCCTAAGCCCGAAACCCAAAGCCCTCATCACCAAAGCCAAGGCTCGGCACCTCTGTCATCCCAGTATGTCGCTCATAGCGGCCGTAGCTGCGGAGCTGAGCCGGCGGGGTTTCCTGGAGGCACCTGGGGTTCAGGATTTAAGGTTGGGGTTTCCTTCCTTTTTTGAGAGTTATAGCTTTTAGGCTTTAGGGTTTAGGGTTTAATCTCCGAGGTTTCAAAGATCCTTTGACAAACCCCAAAGCCAACGAGGGTTTGTGATTCTATTTCCATTTTTAATGTTTTATACTTTGTTTTAATATATTTACCAATAAAGAGAGGCAGCTCGAGGCCCCCTGGAATCAGGATGTCCCGGGCGGCACGCGCCTATCCGTTGAGGGCGTGCGCTGGGTGCTCGACGGGGACAAGCTGTTCAGGCCAGGAATCAGGGCTGAGGCCGAGCGGTTTAGGGTAGGGTTTAGGCTTTATATAGGGCTTAGGGTTTTCGAGTTTAGGGTTTAGGGTTTAGGATGGGGTTTAGGCTTTATATAGGGCTTGGGGTTTTCGGGTTTAGGGTTTAGGGTTTAGGGTAGGGTGTAGGCTTTATATATGGCTTAGGGTTTTCGGGTAAAGCGAATCATTACGCCTTTGAGCCCACAGCCCTGATTTAAAAAAAAGGGCTTAGGGTTTTCGGGTAAAGCGAATCATTACGCCTTTGAGCCCACAGCCCTGAACCGCAAAGCCAAGCTAACCAAACGATCGTCGAGCTTGCAGAAAAAATCCTTCTAACTACTTCAAACACTTCTGGACCCTAAACCCTGAGCCCCAACGACCGCTCGACACCCGAAAGACCCCTAGTATAGTAGGTGGAGACTTTGACACTTTACGCCCCAGACCTCAAACCCTGAGCCCTAACCAGGTCCCGGAAAGCAGAAGCAGCCAGTGGCAAGGTCACTTTTCTACACTTTCTGGGTGCTTCTCAAAAATTGAGATCCCGGTGTGGGGTCTTGGTGAAAATGTAAAGGGTTTTACAGCGTTTCTTAAAACTCCTACGATCAGGGTTCCTTTATTTCGTAGAGCTCCCTCTTGCCCTCTTGCTGGTTTGTTGCACAGGTACGTGGGGTTCGAAGGGCTTGGCTTAAAACCTCAACCATAAACCCTACATCGTGAAATCCTTATGTAATCCTAAAGCCCAAAACCCTAAACCCTAAAACTCCAAACCTTGGGGGCATGGTGTTTTTTGGTGCGGGATCCTGGGATGCGCAGCTTTCGACTTTTAGCGAGGCTCAGTGACCTGACAAGCCTTCTCCGGACATAAGATAAAAAACCAGAGAGTTGGAATATGATTATCCTAACCCTTCTATGGTAAAGCATAGGGTATCCTGTCATGAAAACATATTCCAACTTTCTGGAGTTCCCTGTAGCAAGAGAGTGTCTGGGGGTGTCAAGGGACTCAGGGCTTGAGGTCTAAGGGTTTTGGGTTTAGGTTTCATCAAAGGGGAAAAGGAGGGACCCTTAATAAGGACCCCTACCCTATAATGGGCTAGATAATGGGTATATAATAGCTATATTAAGGGTATATACTTAGGGGCCCTTATGAAGGGTCCCTCCTTTTACCCTTGGATTTCAGAAGAGGACGTGGGGTTTGCAGGATTCGGGTTAGGAGTGTAGGGTTTTAGCTTTTGGGATTTGGGGTTTAGGGTTTAAGTAAAATTTTCAAACCCGGCGGCCTAACCACTTGAACCCATATGCCCGGAGGCTTACATTCTGTACCCCAAGCTCCAGAAGCCCCTGAAACTCAAGGACAAACCTACTCTAAACGCCTTCATTGAGCTGTAGCCTTGGCATAAAAACGCTGAGGGTACTTGCTCTTGCCAAATGGGAGTTTCCGAAAATAGGGGACACTAATACAGTACCCCAAGAAATAGGATCCCCATTGTAAGGACCCCAAAATGAGGTACCCCTAATTTTCGGAAACTCCCAAATCAGGGCTCTGGGGGTTCGGGCCGGTGAGGGTTTGTGGCCAGACTCTCGGTACTGGATTTCAAGGGACGAGCTGTGGGAATACAGCGGGGGCCTGACGCATTGTGTTGTCCTGACCTACCCAAGAATAACCCTAAACCCTAAACCCTAAACCCTAAACCCTAAGCTGAAACCTTCAAACCATGAGGTGTAACTAACCATTGATATTGGAGGAGCTAAAAGGGGTTAGGGATGATGATAATCCCTATTAATGTAGGAGCTAAAGAGCCAAGGGAATCCCCAAATCCACTGGTTAGGTAACCACCCCAGCTCCTCATCCTTCCTTCCGGCCATCCCAGGCATGGTGGCCGCTTGTCTTCTTTGGGATTTTGGCGGTCCAGTACACCCTGAAGCCACAAACCCAAAACCCTGCAGACCCTAAACTTAAACCCCTCCGTTCCTGAATTCCCAAGCTCCGGTTGAACTCCCAAATTCTCAAGCTGTTGGCGCAGGATCGTGCTGGTGTTGGGGTCAGGTTTATTGCTCGTTGTTGGGTTCCTCTGTAGGATTACACGGCTTCTTGGTGCTTTTCGGTTGAGGCCTTCCTGGTTGCGGTTTTAGTGGTTCGGGGTTTGGGATGCTAGGATTTTGGTGCTTAGATTGCATTTCTGGGACCAGAAACTCGGGTCTACAGTCCCTCACCAGATCCGTAAACTCTTAAATTCCTCAACCTGAAATCCCAAAGCCCAAAACACTAAACCCTGAGACCTGAAATTCGACTTCTCTCAGCCTCGTGTTGAAACTAAGGCAGCTGCCCTTGAACTCGCAGCACGTGCTTCTGGCGGATGGCTTGATTGCCGGGGAGCAGACCACGGCGTATCAGCCAGAGCCTTCAGGTGGCTTTGGGTTGACTAGGTTTGGGGTAATATTCATTGTGCCCCCCGTGTGTTCCCTAACCCTATATCCCAATCGTAGACTCAGCTGCAGGCGGAGTTCCCATTTTCGATGCCTTCCGCTGTCTGCTTTTGGGAGTCGGCAACGGCGGCAGAGAGGCAGTTGCTGGGTTCCCTCAAGGATCCCTTTTGCGGATCGGGCCTTTCGGATCTATTCTAGGGTCCCTTTAGGGTCCGGTAAGGGTTCCCTGGAGGTTTCCCTAGACACCTCAGCCCTCACAGATGTCGTTTTTCAGGGGTGCATATTAACTTTAACCAACGCCTTAAACCCTCCACCCTAAACCCTCAAGCCTAAACCCTAAAGCCTAAGCCCTAAGCCCCCCAAAGGTGGTGTTGCAGTTTCGATGCGCCAGCGGTCCGGTCTCCACCTCACCGAGCTTTGGGACGTTCTCGGAAGTTGGCGACTGCTACTTGTCAGGGCTTTCGGGGTTTAGGCGGTTTAGGGTTCAGGGGTTAAGGTTTAGTGTTTAGGGTTTCTTTTCAAGAGGGGCTTTTGGGGTTTAGGGTTTAGGGTTTTTTGTCAGGGTCAACGGGTTCCTTCCATGTTTTGGTTCAGGACTTTTTAAGGGGAATTTCTGACAGGGTTCCTTCAAGGGCTTCCGTCAGGGTTCCTTTACTAAGGGTTCCTTCCATGTTTTGGTTCAGGAGTCTTGTAGGGGAAGCCTCCAGGGAATTCTAAGGGGACTCCTCAAAGAAGCCTGACAAATTTTAGGGGATCCTTTCATAAAGGTTCCTTTAAGGGTTCCTTTCCGGGATCCTCTAAGGGACCCTTGAAGGGATCTACAAGGGGTTTGCTATTTGCTCAGGCCTTGAGGGGGTCCCTATAATTATAGGAAATTTAAGACCTAAGTACCTACCCAGAGATCCCAATACCCCTTAATTAAGGAATATACCTTAAAGTATAATAGGATCCCTAGTATGATTAAAGGTATATTCCTTAATTAAGGGATATTGGGTTCTCTGGGTATACTATACGTGGTGGAGCCATCCACCCAGGCTTCTCGTGCGTGGAGCACGTGGTCTCCGTAGGCGAGGTCTGTGTGGAGTGCACAGTGACATCGGCTGCTTGGCCCCATAAGTCCCTTTAAGGGCCTGTAGGGTTCCTTTTGAAGGATCTAAAAGGGCCTGTAGGGTTCCTTTTTCAGGGATCTATAACGCTTCCTTTTTAGGGGTTCCTATGCGGGTCCCTTCAAAAGGGCTGTAGGGTTCCTTTTCAGGGATCCATAAGGGTTCCTTTAAGGAGTTCCTATGAGGGCCCCTTTAAGGGGCTCCTTTCGGGGTTTACAGAGGTTTCCCTTCCGTTTAGGGTTTAGGGGTCTCCTCTCGTTTAAGCAGGGTTCAGGCAGGGGTCTCTCTGAGTTTGGGTGGGCTTTTAGGCCGGAGGTTTGAGTGAAGAGTTGAGGAGCTACGAAGATCTCCCCAAAACCTCCTTTCATTAAGAAAGATACCGCAAATTATAGTGGGATCCCTAGTATTATATACAGTATTTTTCTTACTTAAGGTTTGTTTTGCAAGATCTGAGTATGTACTGTACTTGCGGGTGAAGGTACGAAAATGCCGCCATCCGGGGCGATCCTCGGGACAGAAGTCTCGCCGGATCAAGCCCAGATCATAATAAGTCATGGAGTATTGGGTAACACAGGGGCCTTAGTAACCATAGTATACCATAATCATAATAAGGAGCCCCCAAAAGTCCGTCCTGATTATTGAGGCCCCTACATTAGGTATTGACAGCCATGTCTTCAACTGGATTTTCGTAAGACTCGATTCCACGCGTCACCATCGCATCCCAACAGAAAGCCATGTCAGTCACTTGAAGCAGCTCGCTCACGAAGCAGCATGCCAAGGAAAGGGACCTCAACCAAGCCGAAATCCTACACCCGTGGACCCACGACCCAAAGTTCTAAACTAAACCCTTACACCCCGAACCCTAAACCCCAAACCCTAAACCCCAAACCCTCAACCCTAAACCCCAAACCCCAAACCCTAAACCCCAAACCCCAACCTCTGAACCCCAAATCCCACAACCCAAAAGCTATTAACTCCGCACTCCGACTCCTAGGCAGTATCAGGGAGGCCCCTTCAAGGGGATCCTTCTTAACCCTACTTCTGGCTCTTTTGAAACCTTTAACCCTAAACCCTAAACCCCTTAAACCTCAAACTCTAAACCCTAAACTCTTTAAACCCTAAACCCTAAACTCTTTAAACCCTAAACCCTAAACGCCCTAGATCCTAACTCCTCCGAGCGTGGCGATCTCAGGAGGACCGACTTCCGCCGTTTCGCCTTGACGGCTTACTGGGTGGATCCTGGCTTGTCCCACGCTGGCATGAGGGTTTAGGGTCAGTGTAGGGGTTTAGGGATTCGAGGTTTAGGGGTTTTTGGGTTTAGGGTCTGGAGTTCGGGGTTTAGGGTTCAGGGGTGTAGTGTTTGGGGTTTAGGGACCAGGGTTTAGGGGACAGGGCGTAGGGTTCAGGGCTTAGTGCGTAGGGTTTCGGGTTTAGGGTTCAGGGATGTTCAGGGTGTAGAGTTTAGGATTCAGAGTTTAGGATTTGGTGGAGAATTCGCGCGTTGGTATTCGGCACAGGAGTAATACTGGTAGCTGATGGTAGTAGTGGTCAAGATGGTGATGACGCTGCTGATGTCGGTGCGCGTGGGAAATCGCAGAGTAGAGTGATGGAGAGTAGTTTTAGCCCTGGTGGCTGTAGTGAAACTGTGGTGATGGTTATGGCGATCAATAATTAAGACCTTGTTTAGGCCCTCGGCTGATGATGATTATGATGATGGTGATGACGAGCATGATGATGCCGATGGTGATGCCGCCCGTGTTGATGTTGTTGGGGATGACGACGACGCTGACGGTGATGATGCTGCTGCTGCTGATGATGATGATTGTGATGATGATGATGATGATGATGATGGTTGTGATTGTCACGATGATGCTTATGATGATGCTGACGATTGTGAAATACTGTGATGATGATGATGACGGTGCTTTTGCTGCTGTTGCCGTTGCTGTCTGTTGCTGTTGGCGTGGCTGTGTCTGTTGCTGTTGATGTTCACTGCTGTTGTTGCTGTTGGCGGCGATGGAACGACTGGGACAGCAATAGGAAGACGTGAAGCAATAAGTGCTGATATTTGTAGTAATACGTAATGATAGCGAGGAGCTGACAAGACAGTACTGATACTAATGACAACATGCCAGCGGTGATGACGATGGCGATGATAGCGATACCGAGTTTGCCGAAAGTGGTATCTGCAGTGACGGTGGTGTTGCCTAAACCCCGGTGGCCGTGAGCCCCTGCAGGTATTGTGGTGCCAGCCCATGCCAACCCCTGAGGACCGCGTTGGGATCCAAATTCTTCAAGCAAGAAGGCGCTCGAGTGCAAACCCTCAACCCCAAGCCCTAAACCCCACTCGGCAAAATCGTTAGATTCATCCTCGTCAGGTTGTTACTTATGCTCGGCTTTAACACTGCTTCTACTGCTACTAGTGCTGCTACTACTACGACGACAACAACCACTACCAGAACGAAACAAACCTCAAACCCCAAGCACCCTCAACCCGAAACCTCAAACCCAAAACCCGGAAACCCCGAACCGCTGTACCGTACCCGAAACCCTGAAAGCCCTTAAAGGAAACCTTCAAGGAATTGTTCTGGAACCCATATAGAGCCCTCAAACCCGAAGGACCTGCAAGCAAGCCCTAAAACCTTAACTCCCAAAAGGAACTCTAGGTTCCCTTACAAACCCTTTAAAGGAACCCGCAGCCCTTTACAGTAAAAGAACCCAAGACCCTTCATAGGAACCCTGAACTCTCAAAAGAAACCCAGGCTCTTTAACGGAACCCTAAGCCCTAAACCCTAAGGCCCCGAAACGAACCCTTAAAGAACTCTTTTAGCCCCAAACCGAACCCTAAAACCCCAACCCTCCCCCCCAAACCCAAGCCCGAAACACTAAACCGTTACCCGAAGCCCTTTCAAGGAACCCAAAGCCCTTTTAAGGGAACCCGAAGCCCCTTTAAACTAGCCCCCAACACCCTCTCAAGGAACCCGAAACCCCTCAAAAGTACAGCTAAAAGTAACCCCAGGCCACTTTGAAGGGAACCCTAAGACCCAAGACCCTTAAGGGAGATCCTAAACCCTAAACCCAAAGTCGCCGAAAGGAACCCCTTGTGTTGAACTCTAAAACCACCGAAACCCTAAAGGCTCAACAGGTCCTAAGCCCTTTAGGGTTTAGGGTTTAGGGGTTTAGGGTTTAGGGTTTAGGGTTTAGGGAGGGTTTAGACCGAAAGGAACCCCAAAACGAGAACCAAAGCCCTTGAAACCCTACGCCTTTACACGAACCCAAAGCCCTTTAAAAGGAGCCCCAAAGCTTTGTCACAGGAACCCTTCAAGGAACCCCTAAAACCCCTTATAGGGACCCTTAAAGGAACCCCTAAAACCCCTGAAAGCCGCCAAAAAGGGCCCCTTAAAGGAGCCTGAAGCTCTCTTTAAAGGGACCCTTAAAGGAATCCTTAAAGGACCCTTAAGCTCTCTTTAAAGGGACCCTTAAAGGAACCCTGAAAGGACCCTTAAGCTCTCTTTAAAGGGACCCTTAAAGGAATCCTTAAAGGACCCTTAAGCTCTCTTTAAAGGGACCCTTAAAGGAACCCTGAAAGGACCCTTAAGCTCTCTTTAAAGGGACCCTTAAAGGAATCCTTAAAGGACCCTTAAGCTCTCTTTAAAGGGACCCTTAAAGGAACCCTGAAAGGACCCTTAAGCTCTCTTTAAAGGGACCCTTAAACCCTTGGAGGAGATCTGCACTTCGGGTCGCTCCTCGGCCCGGTGCTTCCTCCCCGGGGCCGTGGAAATCGTGGACGGGCCCAGCGAGGAGGCGAAGAAGGAAGAAGTTTTAGGCTTTAGGGTTCCTTTTTAGGTAGTCCTTTAAGGGACCTACAAGGGATCTATAGGGTTCCTTTAGGGAGTCCGTTAAGGGACCTATAAGGGATCTATAGGGTTTGGAGGAAGAAGTTTGAGGGTTTAGGGTTACTTGGGGGTTTGCCTGTAGCCGAAACGACCTACCGTTTGAAGGAACTATATGTAAAGACCATCCTAAGGAGCCCTAAAGAGGTAGGTCTTATCGGCTACATTCGGGTTTGGAGTTTGGGGTTTGGGGTTGAGAGTTTAGATTTGGGGGTTTAGGGTTTAGGGATAGAGGTTTGGGGTTTAGGGGGTGCTTGTGGCCTTTATTGGGGGTTTCGGTTTCAATAGTTTTCTTGATGTTTTTTGCGGCTTCTTCGAAGCAAAGGCCTTTGTTCGAGGTCCTTTTTGACACATATATATATACACATAAATATAAATATAAATATACAAATATAAATATAAGTAAATGAACAAATAAACAAATAAATAAACAAATATATATATATATATATTGGGGTTTTGAGATGGGTTTCCTGAACTCGGGGGCTGCCTTGTTCAGGGTCCAGGTCCATTTCGCGACGATCCTACTACTTATAGGGTCTATTATATATCATTGTGTATTCTTCTATATTTTTGTATAGTAAGGTATGGTCCAATATTTTGGGTTAGTTAGTTTGGACTTTTAGGGCGCAGGGTTTAGGGTTTGGGTTTTTTAGGGTGTTTGGGGATTCACGGGTTGCGGGTTCAGGGGCTTAATTCAAACGACATAAAACCACAAACCTTAAATCCAAAAACCGGTGTGAACCCTAGAACGAGCCATAAACCCTAAACCCGAAAAGAAACCTTCAGCCCTTCAAAGGAACCCTGGGCCCTAACCTACGCTTCTGACTTCTGCAGGGCGCTGCAGCCTGCTGCCGTGACTTCGCAGCTGCGCGTGGTCGGCTCGAGGCCGAGAAATGGTTGTTCTACATACTTGGACGTTCATGTGCAGTGATAAGTGGTTAAGAAGTAGAGTATCAAAAGTTATATGGCCCTATTAGGGGACTTAAACCCTACTTAGAACTACCCATGGACCTCCAAGTAGGGCCTTTCATCTTTAGGGGGTTGCTGTAACGGTTCCTTCAAGCGCGCCTGTGGGGTTCTATAAGAGGGGTTCCCTGCAATTAAGGATGCCTCTGGGTACACGGTTTAGATTTAAGGGTCTGGGTTTGGGGATGTTTATGGTATAGGTCATTATTGTTTCTTCTAAGGTTCCTCTGTCTGTAGGACTTAAAGTTGGCAGTTCGTAACAACTTCGTGGTCTAAACTCCGTCTTCGACTTGCTCGGTAGAGACTTACAAGCGCTAGTCGCGAAGAGGCACGAGGCAGCTTTGCAAGGTAACCCTCCGTGTCGATGGCCCTGTGAGGGCGTTCATGGCCATGTATGTCGTAGACTTGAGTACAATGGCAAGCGCAGTCATGATCTGGTGAAAGCTGCTGGTGGTGGTGATGCAACTGGTGCAGGTTTTGGTCGTCCCGGTCGTCGTTGTCGTCGTCGCCTTCGGAGTGCCAAGCGTAGCAGTGTACTCGTGTCAGCACGGACAAGAACAGTAGGGCAGTAGGATGCAACAACAGGAGGGGTAATTGTTGCAATCCTGGAGACAGTCTTCGGCCACATCGTCGTCCTCTTTGTTGTCCTGTCGTCCACGTCCTCGCCCACGTTCTGCGTCGCTTGAGCTTTGTAATGATGATGTTGAGAAAAAGAATAGTGATACTGCCGCGGACGAGGCACCTACTACGAGTAAACTCAGCAACTCTGAGTTGCGACTGCAGCAAGGAAAAACAACATGCACGATGACGTGATGGCAGAATAGCGGCACTCGGAATGGCGGGAACCATCCGGAGTTGAATGGAATGGCAGTTCTGACCTCATGACCCGACACTCGCATTGTTTGTAGCCAGGATGGTTCAACAGGAGCAGAGTAGGCACAAGCAGTAGCACCAGCCAGCGACGAGCTCAAAACGAGCAGCGAGAGCAGCCAGTAGAACAAGAAGCCAGACTCCTAAGATCAGTATTATATATAAATCAGACACTAAACGGGTAAACCCTAACCCGCGTGCAGCCAATAATAAAGCTTTGCTGCAGTGTCTCAAGGTCGAGGCAGCCAGCCTCAACACAAACCGGCTCCCGACCTCAGCTCCAATTTCTGATCCTGTTACCTGACAGTGCATGGTTCATCCTCAACTCCACATTGTGAAGTCTAAATTCACCCCTGCCTCCCTCAACAGAAATCAGTATGACCCTCATAATCTCCAAGTAACCCTTGTAGAACCTCTTATAGAGCTAAACACCTGCAAGCAGGTGCAGCTCGCATCCTTCCTGACCGGCACCAGGCCTCAACTGAAGCATCCCGGCTGAGGAGGGTGGATGGTTTCGCATGTCTAGCGTTTCAGGGTTTAGGGTTTTAGGGTTTAGGGTTTAGGGTCCAGGGTCTAGGATTTTGGTGGTTTAGGTTGCTTTGGGTGCAGGGTTGGGGGTGTTGCGGAGTTTCCAAGGCTTCTGGACTCCACGCCAAACACCTAAATCCAAAGTTCCCAAACCCCTTGCTCCCCGTGCACAATCCTGGAGACCAACTTCAAGGCAGCAAAGGTTTGCAGGAGTTCTTTTACTTCTGTTATGCCAGCGTAGACCCCAAGCAGTGAAAGAGCATCCGACAGTCCAAGCCCCATAAACCCAAAACATATGGGAGTTTCCTGAACATGGGGGCCCTAAGATGGTACCTCAAATTAGGACCCCAAAAGAAGGTACGCCTGACTTTCGGAAACTCCCATATTGCCCACAGGCTCACAAGACTCACCAAGAGTCCAACATGTGCTCTGTACTGACACCCCGGAACACCCACCACACCGTGGCAGGAAGTCGAAGAGCACCCAGAACATGCACGGCACTGTCGCGGTAGCGTAGACTGCGAAAGGGCCGAAATGCGAGCTCGATTCATCAAGTTCGCGAGCACCGAGGTCACCCCCATATGGTCTCCAAGACATTGTTATACAACATATGCTAAAGCCCTTTTCTATTCGTGGAAAGATGCGGTTTTAGTCGGAAAAATATACACCGCACCTGAGTGAAATCCAGAGAGGATCACGCGCTGCTCACCTCTTCGTTCTCCAGGGGGTTGGAGCCCGGGTCTTAGAAAAGCCCTCAACCACTACATCTGTTCTCATGGCCAAGAGGATTTCCTGCGGCTCAACCGCTGGTTCGAGGGCTAAAATGAAAACCTGGAACCCCCAAACTCTAAACCGCTAAACCCGAATGGGGCTTCGGAGCTCGTGCGACAGAAAAGGCCCTCAACAAAAGAAAACTCTAAAACCCTAAACTCCTAAACCCCTAACCCCTAAACCCGAGGCAGTGGCCGAGCAAAGGCAGGATTCAAAAGGCAGCTGCGCATTGGCCTCGCGGCCGGAAACGATTGGACCTTAATTTTTGGAATCCTGGGGAGTCCGGATGCAATCTGTCGCGTTTGGGACTTAGTCACTAGGGTGTATCTGTGTTTGAAACGAAAGTTCGCCGTGCGAGACTCTGTTGGTGATTTTGATCTCTTGCGGGTTGGAGGTAGGGTTCAGGGTCTTAAGGCTTGAGGTCTTGGGCTTTCGGAGTTTGGGGTTTAGTGATTACGGTTTAGGGTTTAACTAGGGGTTTAGGGGCTAGTTATTCCCTAGTAGTCGGGTAGGTGACCTTTAACCTTTTTTGGGCAGTATAGTCCCTATATAATCCCTATAGAGCCAAAAAGGTTAACCTCCAGCTCCCCGTGATACCCGACAAGTAGGATTCGGTTTTCGCGGACAATTATTAGGGTTTTTTGGTTCGATCACGAGGACTTAGTGTATGGTGTGAGGTGTGGGGGTCTTTGAGCATAATGGGACTTTCCGAAAATAGGGGGACCCCTTTTTCGGAAACTCCCTAATTACCAAGGTACAGTCACACGGATTTGAGAGATTTCGGTTCGGGGCCGCAAGTTAAGGCTGACGGATTCGGGGTTTAGGGTTGGGGTGCGGGGTACTACAAGCCCTCAGCCCTGGGTGTTCAGGGCGGGGCCTCCTGGCGTTCCGTGATCTATGAGTTTCGTTTGGGGTTTGAGGGTCATGCTTGGAGGTTCATGGGTAGTTTTAAGTGGGGTTATAAGTAGAGTAACTATAGTCATAACTCCTATTAGGGGACTTATAACCCTACTTGTAACTACCCATGAACCTCCAAGTGGGTTTAGGGGTTTCGGGGTTTAGGGTATGGTGCCCATCATGGGTTGCGGGCTCAAGAATCAGATCTGGAGCTCTAGCTCCCTGAAAGCCCAAGCCCTAAATTCTAAGCCCTCGCAATGCAGCCCCTTCAGGTAGTCGCAAGGCTTGACTTAAGCCTTGTCCCAACTTCTTGCCCTAGCTAGAAACTACAAAGTGCAAGTGAGGTTAGCTCTTCATTTCTGGCCGGGCAAGAGCTATGCGGAGATTGAGGCCATCGCAAGAACCTGTAAACCCTGATCCTTACACCCCTAGTCGCCCGGAGAATCCGAGATCTCGCGTCCCAGTAGGATTCCTATCGTGATTCTCGGAAAGAGATGTCCCGACACCCTAGTTTAATCGTTACCGCCACTGTTCTAAAACCCTTATGGTACCCTTATGAAACTCTCCTAGTAACCCTGAGCGGAACCTATCCCAAGTGCTCATATACTATGGAACCCTTAAAGTAATCCTTGAAGCAACCCTTTAAAGGCACCTTTCAATGCTAACTATTTTTGAAGAACCCTTACTGCAAACCTTGAAACAACTCCTTAAAGGGCTCGAACCCTATTCATTCTAACTATTAAGGGCGCTGTCCTGTATTCGTACCCCAACCTTCAGTCTGCAACATCGCGCTCCAGAAAAAAATGGGAGTTTCCGAAAATGGGAACCCTAATATAGTACCCTAAATAGTAGGATCCTTATTATAAGGACCCCAAGATAAGGTGCCCCTAATTTTCGGAAACTCCCAAATCAAGGTCTCAAACGCCCAACGGCTATGGTTTGGGAATCGTGGTTTCACGGTTTAAAAATGTTTTACTGGCAGGAGCAGTGCACGTTTCACTTGTGGTCCCTAAGCCAAACTCTCCCATACTCCCAGAGCCCCCCCTCGAAGTGGCTGTCAAGATTAGGGTCCCTTTTGGGGTCCCTAATATAATACGCCACCTAATATTTAGGGTACCCAAAATAAGGGGCCCTAATTTTGACAACCACCCAAAGGCGTAGCAAACCGAAAGTCTCCCCCGAGGTGGATTGGATCATCGCCACGCGGCACCACATCAGCGCTAAAGCTCCAGACTGTGGACGGATACGGAAAGACCTCGAGAGGCCGGATCACATTTGGGAACAGGGTCTTGAGACATATGACGATATACCCAAAGGGGACTATATGGGGATGTGTGGTTTTTTCCATTAGCATCTCTGGATGATGCTAGGCTTTTCCCCTACAAAACCGAATCTCGTTTTTTTCATTTTCACTGGTCTGCGCCTTTGTTTGAGGTGTCGTCATCTTTCCAGGCTTTGGGGTTTAGAGTCTTTCTGTTTTTACAGTACCGAGGGTGGTTTAGGGTTGAGGGTTTAGGGCCTACTCTCGTCTAGACGAAACGGTAGTCGCCTTACGTAGGGCCCAGAGACGCCAAGAAAGCTTTGGCTCTGTGGTGCTGTTGAGCTCGGTTCCCTGTAGAAACCAAAACCTAGGGGTCTGAATACTTAGTGGCAGTGTCCCATTGTCGTTCCTGTATACCTTTATACTTAGGGTTTAGGGTTTATAGGGTTTGGGGTTTTGGTTTTTAGGGTTTAGGGTTTATACTCTATGCCCAGAGAACCCAATACCCCTGAATTAAGGAATATACCTTAAAGTATGGAGGCCTTAATATTATGATTCAAGGTATATTCCTTAATTCAGGGGTATTGGGATCTCTAGGTGATACCCCAGCACACTTTGCAATTTTTGAAGGCCCTGTATTATAGGATCCTTAAGGGAGGGTGGTTCAAGGGGGGAGGGTATAAGGAATCCTTAGGGGACTGTAAGGGAACCTTAGGGAGTACTAGGGAGAATTAGGGATCACTAGGCTATACACCCCCCTTAGACCCCCCTCCCTTACAACTGTATTGGTTTCAGACCCCCTCTTCCAGGACCGGCTTCGTGCGCAGGGAGGCTGGCGGCGGGAAGTTCTGCTTGCTGCCTGAGAAGGTGGCGCGTCCCAAACGACTCAAGCTACTACTAGGAGCTGGTTTCTTAAACTTCCATATTCGCAGTACTTACCCTGATATTGAGACTTTGAGACATTCTCAGGTGGAGCAACTGCTGCTGGAAGCGGAGGGCTAGTGGAACCAAGGGGTGCGAGCGCGGCTTTTGTCAGAAGATGCTGGTTTCCACCGGGGGCTCAAGTCGAGGAGACTGTCTTCTCGCTGCTTTGGTTCTTTGCTCCTGGCCGGGGCTTGTCTGAGCCTTGACGCGAGCTTCGCAGATGCTGGCATGAAGAAGAAGAAGAACAAGAGCTGCATCGACGGTGTCTGCTTTGCCGACTTTCTTTGTCGCGGTCTCGCCCTCGACGAAGCAAATATTGGGTTTCTGGTGCCCCGATCTGAATCAGCGACCAGAGTGGCTATGTGATTGGCTTCATTGCAGATGATGAAGTGCCTGATCGTTGGTGGAAGGTGTCGCTCGCTGTTTCGTCATGGCGAGATACCAAGCCGGCTGGCATTTCTACATGTGGGGACTGACCATCCCAAGCTCTGGATGATTGTCCTTGTTGCATCTGTGCATGAAGAAAATGGCACAGACTCACCACAAAGGGAGCATCTGTCTTTCGCTTCCTGCATGCTAAGGTTACATGTTCATGCAGCTATACGTACAGTCGTGCAAAATCAGCAGAATGCTGGGTTGCTTCGTGGGTTCCCAGGTTTTTACGACTCCTCCAACAATGTAGTCATGCAGTAGCAGCAACTCTGTGCCCGAACGCTTTGTGTTAGGAATGTGGGCCCCTGCGGCTACGGCTGTGTGCTTTAGTTGCGACTCGTGCAGTCGACATGACTTTATGTGATTTAAATAATTTTGGCTTTACGGTTTGCCGTCCTTATGGGCTACTCTTGGCTTAGCACTTTGCTTCCGAAGCCCTTCAGTCCAGACTTTGCCAACTTTGCCAACTTTGGGTATACCGGGGGCATTTCAGGGTCTGTCAACGTCCGAGGTCTGCCATCTCAGGAACCTCAACTCAGAACAACCCAGAAACGCGAGTCGAGTCCTTAAAGCCTGAACCCGCAGACTCAGAACCAATACCCAGAAAGCCAGCTCCTTTGGACGGCTTGGAAGCCTTGCGGCACGCTTGGAGGTTCATGGGTAGTTATAAGTCGGGTGGGGTTATAAGTCCGTTAATAGGAGTTGTAATTGTAGTTGTTCTACTTTTATCTCCACTTAAAACTACCCATGGAACTGACACGGCACTTTCAACACTGACCCGCAAGCATGAGTTGGAAGGGCTAGGATTATGTATGTTTATATGTGTGCATTAAAAAACATATATGCATATGCATATATACGTGTATACATATAACATTATGTATATATAAAGGTCCTACATACATATATATATATATATATGTATATATGTATATATGTATATATATATATATATATATATACATACATATATATATATATATGTATATATATGTATATATATATATATATATATATGTATGTAATTATTCTATAGGAGCAACGCAAGCTAAAAGCAGCACCAGAAGCCTGGACCATTTATCCCTTCTCAACTTTCGACTTGTCCAGCCACCATGCTTCCGGCACGGCCAAAAGCCTTTGGCCCCCGGTCCCGAAAACCCAACCCCTTGAACCCCAGACAGAGAGCCGTTTCAGTGCAACCCGAAGCCCTAAAACCCTAAACCCTAAACCCTAAACCCTAAACCCTAAACCCTAAACCCTAAACCCAAACCCTAAAACCCTAAACCCTAAACCCTGACCCTACACCCTAGACCCTTGACCCTAAGCCCTAAGTCCTAAACCAGGCCCCCGACCCGAGAGGACTACGAGCGGAAGCACGCCGAGCGACGCCTGCTGCGGCAGAGAAATGCGAGGCCCGAAGACATGTAACAGAGCGGCCTGAATGATTACTGATATTATTCCTCAAGGCTCCTTCTTGTAATTATAACACGATATACCCCCCCCCCCCCCCCCCCCCGTGGCACGGTAGAATGCGTACAATGTGGCTCGCGTGCACGCGCACCGGCGTGCACGCGCACCGGCTCACGCGCAATCCTCAGAGCCATGCAGCAATATGACTAGACCTCGTATTTGTAGCCGTTGGATGAAAATTAAATGATGTTTAGGTAGTTATTCCATGTTTTCGCACCATTTAGGCTAAACTCTGCAAGTGTCCGGCGCAGCACCCCGCAAACTAGTACGCTTGCTACATGCTACTTCCATCGAGATATGTCTTCTCGAGGTCCGGGTTGTAGCAGGCTCTGCGAGAAGCCATGGCTGAAGAAATGCAAGCAAATCGTAGGTGCATCGTGGTGAAGTTCCCACACATACCGCAGGTTGTTTGATCTCTGCTGCTGGAAGTCAGGTTCGCAGCTTGCAGCGGGAGATCGGCATGACACGTTGCAGGTCTAGCGGCTGCTGGCGTGGAAATTTCGCCTTCGGACGATAGCATCAAAATCAAGGGTCAGTGGTCAACTCGGACATCATCCAGCAAGGCTATTAGCGAGAATAAGCAGTCGGCCTAAGGCTGCATTGCCAGAAATCCGCCTTTGACAACAGGAACCTTTCATGCAAAGGCTTCCTCACTTGTTCATCTGTGGCTGCTGTGGCCCTTATATCTCAAGACCACGGACATGTCGGAGGCAGAAGCATGCGTTGAAGCAGCAGCATCATACATTCAGGGCAGTTGGGCCTGCAAACTGGGCCGATAACCTCAACAACAAGCTGCTTAACGGTCAACGTTGGTTGTGCCCGGCTTCCCCTCAATGATTGCACACACCGGCTGGATGCACACCTGGACTGCAATGCTAAAGGGCAGTGAAAATCGTTATCACGGAGCCTCGCCTCACCCTCATTAGCATGGTAAAACCCAAACGGGGTGAAGGGTCCCATGTAGAGAAGAGCTGGGACCCACCGGGTCCCACCGAGCCCAACTTGGGTCCCACCGTAGAGGAGAGTTCGGACCCACCGGGTCCCACCAAGTACGTATCGGGACACACGCATGGCTGGTGGTTTTGATGGCGCGATTTTGGGTCCAAAAAATGCTCCCGCTTCCGGCTTCATAGCGTGCCTCCATAGTATTATAAAAATGCAATCAGCTTTGTCTGGGGGAGAGGCAAACTCTACGACGTAGGGCCATGACGCAGCAAGCTACGTGCAAGTTTTTGGTCTAGTCGCGTCTAACAGCACGCTTGGGCGGCTGCAGGGCACTGGATTGGCAAGCAAAGCGTGCGACTTCCGGCTTCGTTTCTGGGGTCGTCTTCTGGGCAGCTTTCTTAATGCCAGCAGTAGCAAGGTCACACCGCGGGCCGAGTTTCGGAGCCACGGAAACTCCACATTTTGCGAACCACAATGTCGGCCGCAATCATTTAGACTACTTGTCGGGCTGCTTTGTGCTCCTATCCTTGGGACCAGATTTTGCTTCCTGTGTTCGAGTTCAGGTTTCAGGGTCGCTCTGCGGACCCCCAAATTGATAAGACCAATGCACAGTATTAACCTCACAAGGCCGCCCAGTGTTTCTAAGATGCTGATACGATGATGCATCGCGAAGGTTGTGCTGGCAGGTTAAGGCACACGGTCATGGAAGCAGACCCATCTAGACTCATCGAAACAGAAGAGAATCTAAAGCAAGGCATTCCTTGCGATTGACATCCAAGCCGGCTTGTCGACGGTTGCATGTTCAGTGGGTTATGTTATAACTTCCTTCGCCAAGCTTGTGAAAACGGCTACTCACCAGCAGGACTTGGCCTAGTCTTACGAAGCAGCCTTACAGGTGCACACGGAAGCAGAGCAATTGCGTTTTGAACGTTCGGTCGCAGTCTGGATCTTGATATCGTGGTTTCCAGAGCAGCCGGCTCGGGTGACCAAGATACACAGGACCAGGCACTATTTGCCTTTGCTCTAACTTCTAGGATCGCTGCAGCTGGTAGAGAATTCATTGAGCTGTACTCACTCAGTCTTTTGGGGAGACGTCGCAAAAAATCTACACTCTGATGAAATCCATCGACAGCAACATTGACTGGCTGGTCGCTTCGTCACTGCAAGCCCGTATCTGTGCGGCGGTGAAGCAGGAAGCAGAGATGTGACAGTCCGACGAACAGCGATACTACAATTAACCTGGCAATCAAGTCATTGCTATCAGTCGTCCTCCCCGCAAGATTCGTGAATGTCTTGAATGATAATCGGCGACGACGACAACAACAACAACCACTACGTCTATTACTACAACAACAACAACTACTACTACTACTACTACTACTACTACGACGACGACGACGACTGCTGATCACTACGGCTACGACTGGCACTACCACCTATTCCAGCTAGTCTCTTTGACCGTGATCCTGCTCCTCCGCCCACTCCTAATGCGCTACGTCTGCTAACTGCTTGTGGGCTTGTTTACAGCTCTTTCGGAGTTCAGCTTGGGGTTCAGGCTTCAAGGTCTTCTGCTTGAAGACAAGATTCAGAGAAGGTTCTGCAACTTAGGAACTTCGCGGCTGCTGCTGTCTCGCAGCTCAGGCTTGCTCGTGTGGTTCTTAAGGATGTTGCGTGTGTTTTCAGTGTTCGCATTTAATACGTATATTATTCTTCAGGGCCAGCCAGGATGTAATTAGCGAGGTCTGCTGGGATTTTGCGGATATAGCGAGGGCCCAAAAAACCACTTGCGTGAGAGGGGTCCCCTTCATCAGGTGATCCGGTGCTTTTCCGTGAAAACCCTGGCTCCCAAGGCCCGATGGCTGGGGTACACATAATATATGCTTATGCCGCGTGCTTAGCTGGAAACACTTTTGCTTCATCTTGCCGGTGGTCTGAGTCTGCGTCTACGATGGCGCACGTCGCTTCGCGACCCCTTGCCGCCGTATACCGGCAGTGCGCAACAACGTGAAAGCAGTGCGCTTCTTCACTCGGCACCTTCTGTCTGCAAGTAGTGGCTGCGGCTGCTTTCCGATGAGTCGTCTGATGACGCCAGCCCTCTGTAAGATGAGCTTGCGCCTCGCAGCGGTGTGCTGGTCTCGAAGCCGCTTCAGCGGAAGATGCTGGGCCTTTTCTTTGGCAAACTGCTGCCAAGCTCTTGTGCTCCACAAGTTCTGGCCCAGCCGTCGCGCCAA